CCCCCCCGGGCAGCAATTAGAAAGAGAAAAAGGGACGGCTAATGCTTAAGAAAGTAAATTTGAAATTGATTTATGTTAGGAAGCTTTTTATTAGGAAGAATTGTATTTAAAGAATATGAGAGGCTAGGGTTAGGGCATGCATGATTTGAGTTGTTCTCTTGGAGTTTTCTTTGGTGTTTTGGGTTGTAGACTCATCGTCTAGAGATTGGGAGAGAAAGATCCTCCTCTCGAATTGAGGATCAATTGTATCTTTTCTTTATGTTTGTTTTTTTTATTTCTCTAATACAAATCTACTGTTTTTGGTTGATTTCGTTGGCTTTCTTGTGGTCTTTTTCGTTGTTTAGACCAATTTAACATTAGGTTTGATTGCGAACTCAAGTATTTCCTATTAGTGACGTCATAGTCGAGTAGGTTCTTCCACTTAATCTACACTTCCTTAATCCTCCCTTTTCCTTATCGAAGCCCTTTAAGCTCCAAAAGCTCCAACACGTCCTCCAAATTCTTAGTCAGTGTCGTCGGTAATTCCGCACTAACTGCGTGCTCCCCTAGAGTCCTCCTCAACTGTGATTCATGGAATACTGGATGTATGATAGTGGTTGGGGGTAACCTCAGGTGATAAGCCACTGCTCCAATCTTTTCCAATATCTCATAAGGGCCAAAATACCTTGGGGTTAGCTTCTCGTTCCTTCTATTGATAACTATCCTTTGTCTATATGTCCGTGGTTTTAAAAACACCTTATCCCCAACTTTGAACTGGATATCCTTCCTATGCTCATCTGTCTGCTTCTTCATAATATGTTGTGCTGTCAACAGATGCCTCTTCAATTCCTCTAACACCTTATCTATTTCCTCCAAGTACTGCTCTACTGAAGAGACAGGTGTGCTCCCCTACTTAAAATGTACCAAGTGTGATGGGTGTCTTCCGTACAACACTTTGAACAAGGTCATCTGAGCAGCTGGGTGATATGAAGTGTTGTACAAATACTCTGCCCACACTAGCCACTAGGCCCACATCCGAGTTGTCTCTAAAGCAAAACATCGTAGGTAAGTCTCCAAGCTTCTATTGACTAACTCCATCTACCCTTCTGTCTGAGCGTGGTAAACAGTGATTCTCTTGAGAATTATACCTTGTAGCCTAAATAGCTCCTCCAGAATTAACTGAGAAACACCTTATCTCGATCAGATGCTATCGACTCTAGAGTTCCATGCAATCTAACCATCACTCTAATGAATGTTGCTGCTATTGTAATGGTCGTGTAGGGATATCGTAAGGGAATAAAATGATCATACTTACTCAACCTGTCAACCACCACCATAATCACGGTGAAACCCTCAGATCGTGGTAACTCATCTATGAAATCCATGGTAACCTCCTCCCACACTGTTTGGAAGAGCCAAAGGTTGAAGTAATCCCTCTGGAATCATAGTCATGTACTTGTTTCTTTGGCAAACCTCACACCTAGCTATCATTGTGTCCACATCCTTGTGCACCCCTTTCCAATGCAATTATGCTGCCAACCTTTTGTATGTCTTTTGCACCCCCAAATGACCTCCAACCGCACTCCCATGAAATTCCTATAACAAGTGGGGAATATGAACTGAGGTTTATGGCATCACAAACGTCCCTTGGTACATTAATCTCTTTCTCCCTCATGGGAATAGCCTGGGTGGCTGCTCTCATCCTTTAGTAGATCCCTCCTAATCTTCCTTAGCTTATCGTCTTACACACTGTCTTCTTTGATAGCCCCCAATCTACCATCAATGGTACTGATATGGCCAACTCCTAGAGCTCCCCCACGCATCTCGATAATGCATCAGCCTCCTTATTCTCC